TGGTTAGAAATGTTTATTTTTGTAATCTGTTTTCTCTGGATATGTTATTGGGTTGAGGGATAGAGCTTTTTGTCCTTGTACTGTATAAGGATAGCATTAGTATAGTGGTGAATAGATCCTTACTGTATAGTTTTTGTGGATCTTCTATTTTTTGCAGTCCCCTATTTTAACTGATCATACTTTCATTGTTTCATATTACTCAAAAACAAAGCTGGTCATTTATCTTGACATTTAATGCAGTTATACTTCCCCCTCTGGCTGCCTGTGTGACTGTTTAGGGAGAAGGTTTCTGCTACTTTTGGAGCAATTTTACTCCAATAACAGTTTATCTGAAGTAGTTGCACAGCAGGGCAGAGCCCAGTTATTAAATGCCAGGAAAGCAAGGTGCCAGTGAGATGCTGATGTCTGATTTTCATAATTTAGTTTGGAGGAGGAATGAGTTAAAGAGATTTCTAAGAATTCTCTAATGCTTGGTACTCCTACTTGACTGTGGCCTTGGGAAATGATAATAGAGGGAATGCTTTCAAGGTGTGCAGGAGAAGGTAATGATAGGAAAAAGTGGGAGAACTGCCAAGAGGGCACCATATATGAGGTTCCTGAGGATAATTCCATCTATCCTGATGCAAATAGAGAAGACCTTGATGGAGCAAACACATGAGATAAAACAATTTCCACCATCCCTTGAGGGCTGCATCACTTGTAAGGAGTGTTTTCGATGCCAAGGGGTTGAAATTTATATACTGGGATTATATATGCTAATATGGATGGGGGTAAAAACTGTGAATTGAGGGAATCTGAGATTCCTAAGGTCTCCATGGATATATAAATCTCCTTGGGATATTAAAGGTGTGGAAAATCTGCTAGGAAGTTCAAATTTTCTTGCAGTTAAGTCCTGTTTTGAGTTGTGAGTGGATCATGTTTGACTCTAGCCTGGTCGCATTTTTTATGTGCTGGTGATAGTTGGGTTTGGGTTTTGTTTCCCTATAGGTGGGATTTCTTGCACCTATAATGGCAGTTGTGATGGTTAGAGTTCTTATTTTGGGTTTGAGGTTCAGTTGGAGTTAAAGGGTTATTTGGGTTTGGGTTGAGTTTCTACTTTCTGGGGTTGTAGGGTTGTATCTATTTGTTTTACTCCTTTAGAGGGAAAAGTGCTTTTGTTTTTTCTTGTTTCGTTTTTTCAGTCAGTATTACTTTAACTTTCTTTGTTTCCTTTTCATAAGATTTTGTTATTTATTCATCATCATCATAATCTATGCCTTATCCCAACTATTTGGTGTGGGCTACATGAATCTTGTTTTGCTAACCCATTCTATTTAAAGCCACATAGATTTTGTTAATTGTTGATAAAGAAATATATATGGGATCTAGGCATTTTTGGATCCGCATATTTAAGTATGCATGAGGTCTATGATGCATCTGTTAAAGGAATTACATATTTTGAAATAAAGGTTTCTCTTTTACCTTATTGCTGATTTTAGACACTTTGAAGCTGTTGACTCCTTGAGGCTCAGTTTGGAAGGAGTATAAATACAAATATATGTAGAGTGCAAAACTATGTATTTTGCATGTATTTATACTGTACATATTTGTATTTGTACTCCTTTCAAACTGAGCCTAAGTAGATAACTGTTCAATTTCCAGGAATAAATGCTATAACCCTTTGAGTTGCAGATCAAAGATGATTAACGGCTTAATGGAAAACTTTATGTTTTGATCCATTCAAGAACTGGCTATACCATAGGTAAAATTTTAACAAGTTACTGGTGAAGAGCAATATAATGATCAGACGTGGGCCAAGGACTACAGTGATGGTCCCCCTAGTATACATGGAGGTATAATGGTGATAATGTCTATTATTTAACTTTCAAAGTCCAAGAAGTAATGTTCTGGTACCAACAATCCAAGTCTAGGAAAGTCTCTATCTGGTATAGGAGCCCTTTTGCCTATAAAGGTTCCTGATGCAGGACATGACAAGAAGTAAATGTCTATAGTTCGTGAATTGTTTTGGACCTCAACCAAATTGGCTCAAGACTGGCACTCAAATTTTGGACTAAAGTTGAGGGGCTAAAACTTGCTCCTTTGGCTTGATATGGGTGTCATTAGATAGGCTAATCCAGCAAACCCAAGATGTTAAGAGTCTTGGAAAAAATTAAGCAACTTATTGCTGATCTAGATTACCAAAAAATCTTATTGCTGATTCACATATAACAAACGAGTTTGTGATGGGATTTTCTATTTTTGGGTCATCTAAGTTTTTAATTAGAATGCCATTAATTTCAGTATTTTTTTGGTAGGTATTGGTTTCAATAGTTAGTCTTTTTTATTTTTTATTTTTTTCCAATTTTCTTTCTAGCATCTAGGAATTAGAAAGCAGCGAATGAGTTTCTAATTTGATTTCTTGGAGGGTAAAAAGAGTTTCCCCTTTGTGATTTATAAATATTAGAATACTTTGTAGTTGACAATGTTGATTATTGAGGACGAAGTTAAATCTTACTTAGTGTTGGCCAGGTGTGATGCTCAACAATTTTTTCTTCTTTGGTATGATCCATGAAAAACTTCATATGAAGTGTCATGACCTGAGTTACCCAACCCCCTAGTACCAACCGAGGGGTGGCTTGTTGGTAAGTTAGCTGGTTTGCTCCACCATTGAAGCGGAACCGATTCCCGCAACCATCTATTTGTGGAGGGGGGGGGTGTTAGTAGTGGTGCTTGGCACCAAGTACCAAGAAAAAAAAACCCCTAGTTATATGCTCTATAGCCTACATCATATCCCTTCACTAATGCATGCCAGTGGCAGCAGAGTTTCAGCTTGTTTGGCTTCGAGAACTGAGCTTAAGAGAGCAGGCAGGAATTACATCATCATCATGACAGGAGGTGTATTGCCTCACCAAGTAATTTCCGCCTTGCAATGGGTTGAGTTGCAGATCTTATTAGCAATTTATATGATATCTCTTTGTTCTTAACATTACTAGATTGTCACAAAATAAACAAAAACCATATTATATCACTCTTCCAAGTCTTGATAAAAGCAAATGAGCTTCTGAAGATGTTGTGCCCCCTGCTTGTGATTTCCATCTTTATGCTTTAGTTTCATTTAACATTCTTGTTGTCATCGTCATGAATAGGTTGCCAACGCAGAAGGAATCTGTTTTACATTTTGCTTCTCATTATTGTGAAAAGTTATGTGGGAAGGCGAGCTTGTAATCATGGCATCTGTTAAGAGTACATAGGAAATGACCACTACTGCAGACGTGGATGGGCATCATAAGTTCATATAGGGAACAACCATTTATTAGGCACTATTTTTGGAAATATGCATTTTGATTTGCACTTTTACAGAAAAAGGGTTACGTTAGTAAAGAGAATCAATTTCTTGTAGCCAATACCTATGTCTGTCCCTTTGTTCTCAGGAGTTATAAATTTTTGCTCTTTTATTTATTTCCTTGTGTGGGCCGGGGGAGGGGGACAAACTGCAGACGTGCAGTTTAGTCTAAAGTTCATCCCAACCCAACCCCCTTACTCAGCCTTGAAATCTGAGTTAGTTTTTTTGTTTTTTTTTTTAAATTAATTGGGTGGGTTTGAGTCTGATGAAGCTCTGGACTCAAAATTGATTGTAGCGTAGTTATTTTATAGTTTAGCTTGTTTGAATGGACGTTCTAAATGTATACATAAGACAGACTAAAAAAACCCATGATCACACATGGTAATTTAACTCAAAAATTGGGTGGATGCCAAACTTGAGAATTGATACTATTAATTAATGGGAAAAACTTAAGTCTCTTCAGCCACAACCATCCCACTGGTTATTTAACAGACAATGTTGGCTTCTCCAGACGTGTCCTAAACTCAGCTTCAGTTAATTTGCACTTCAAAATTCAGAATCTTAGTTGGTTGATCCGCAAATTAAGGTGGGTGAGACAAGAAAGGATTATAATATTGTGGGTTTGCCTAACTTGCTCCATGTGCCAAATCATTAACCACAAAATCCATTTAGGTTGACCATGACGTGAGGCTACAGGCCGCAGCACATGTGATGAACATGCATGCCAATGAGACCAACCGTTGAGTGGGTCCATGCACCAGATTAGATTCCCCTAGAACTAGGTGCAAGACAATATTGATGATCATTTATAGCTACCTATAGCTATGGAATCTCACACATTCTTCTGATCTTGGACGTGGTAATCCTACAGAATGAAGCTAAAGATCATCTAAGCAGGGCAAAATATTCTGTTTGAGAAAGAGATCACACTGATGAGACCCATTAAACAAACGAGCACTGGATGGTCCCTACAATGGAGTGGGCGATAGGAGGATTGAGGAATTTCTGAGCCTGTGGATGGACAGACTGGTTGGGGATGTGAAGACTAAAGAATGACCAGTGTGCAGTAACAAGCAACAGTATTTAGATTGTAGAGGAGAAGCAGGACCAGAATCTGCAACTGCAACATTACTTTAAATCCACCAGTATTAAATAAACAAGGATTGTGTAATGTGCACGTTAGCTCCAATGATGAGAGATCAATCTTGAATCTTCTTTCATGCAATTGTATAATAAAAAGCAAACAAACAAAAGAAAAATGAAAGACATGGATACCTAGAAGAAAACAAAACAGTGGAGCTAAGCCAAGGGGTGGGGCTGGGAAGAAGGGGTTAAACGTGCAGTAGAGGTATAGTAAAAGAGTAAAGGGTCTAAATAAAAGAGAGGGGGCGGTGGGGGGAGGGAGAAGGGGGTGGCCCCTTGGCCCATGGTGGGTACGATTTTGGTGTGGCGTTGTCTGCCCTTAACTGTTTCCAACGCAAGTCAGTAGTCAAGCATCCCTTGCTCACCCTGCCCCACCTCTTTCCGTATTCGTCTCCACTCCCACAAGAAAAGGAAATAACAAAAATATTGTCCCCTTAGATTCCATTGGTTTCTCTCTCTTCCTTCAATCAGAGCGCCTCCTGCTCCTCCTCCATATCTCCCTCTCTCTTTCTCTTTCTCTTTCTCTCTCCCTGTTTTTTTTTTTCTTTGTTTCTTTTCTGTTTTCCAAATTCAAGTAGGTGGGGCTGCTCACCCTCTTTCTTTTCAGGATTCTCTCTTGCACCTCTCAGTACCACCGCCTGACAAGAAGGACTAGAAGCAAGAATAAATGAGCCCACACATCAACAAAGCAAAAGAGAAGAAAACAGAATCTCATCAATCTCCATCTTTATCTCTTTCTCTCTCTCTCACACATCTTTAAGGAGTTGAGCCTCTTCTTAATTCACGTCAGATGAAGACAATCATGGCCAAGACCCCTTACGACTCTTCCTTCTCCTTCTCTAAGCGGCACTTTCCTTGGCGAAGGAAGACTGAAGGTGATGATGATGAAGATGAAACAATGACCTTCAACTCCTCCTTTAACGCGACGCATATTTACGAGGAGGAGAAAGAAGGAGAGACGGCGGCTAAGACCTCGGCGCCTACAGCTACAGGTACAGGCCCTACAGCCGCGGCCTCGGTAGCCGGCCGAAGGAGGAGGCTGCCCATTGTGGCCGTTGCAAGGCTCCGATCAGTTCTTACAGTCTTCGGTAGGAACCGGGCACACTTGTCTTCAGGCCTTGGCACCCGAGTGGTAGGCACCCTTTTCGGCAATCGGCGTGGGCACGTTCATTTTGCATTTCAAGAGGATCCCAAGTCATATCCAGCGTTTCTGATCGAGCTTGCCACCCCGACGAGCGGATTGGTTCGTGAGATGGCATCTGGGTTGGTTCGTATAGCTTTAGAGTGCGAGAAGGTGGTGGACAAGAAGGGAGTGAGATTGCTACAAGAGCCCCTGTGGAGGACTTACTGTAATGGGAAGAAGTGTGGGTATGCAACGAAGCGAGAATGCGGACCCGAGGAGTGGAAGGTGTTGAAAGCGGTGGAGCCAATCTCAATGGGAGCTGGTGTACTGCCGGGGAATGGAGCCGGGTCCGACGGTGAACTCATGTACATGAGGGCCAAGTTTGAGCGGGTTGTGGGCTCTAGAGACTCTGAGGCTTTCTACATGATGAACCCTGATGGTACCGGAGGTCCTGAGCTTAGCATCTATCTGCTTAGAGTCTGAGGTAGCCATTGGAAAGTCTCGATTCAACTACTTGCTTACTTGGTACTAATTTTGCTTTGGTGAGAGTTTAGTGTAACAGTAATAGCTGTGGCTCCTGAGCTTAATCATCAACAAGAAACATGTAGCTCTTGAGTTGCAGAACCATGAAAGTGGAGATTTGATGGTCTCCAATCGTTATTTTTGGGAAAATGGAATCTGTTCTTCCATCTGTAAGTCTTAGCCTCTTAGGTACTGTAGTAGTGGCATTATATCCTGATGATAGATTGGGGTGTGGGGTATATCTATGTATAGGTTTTCTCTTTTCATTTTCCTCAAAGAAGAAGGATTATCAGTGGCATATAAGCAAATGCACTCATCATTTCCCTTCCACTTGTTACTTGTCAAAACTCCGCTTATGATTAATTGGTCTCTGCTTGGTAAACCATGGATTTATGAACTAATATGACCCATGTCTCTTATTTTAACATCTAAGTAATAGACTGCGAGGGCAAGGTTTGTTCTTTGTAACAGGGTTGCCCACCTGTTGATAGATGGTGGGTCCCACTTGGGATATATTATCTAATTTCTTCTTAACTTGGTAAAAAATGGGTAGGAGTTGATAGATGAAAACAACTACATGATGTCTTGCATTCTTTTGAAATTTTGAATTGGTTGGAAATTTGGAGTGCATTTGTCAAATGTTTGATGGGTTTTTAACTTTTTTACAGATCTTTCAAATGGGTCGTAACTGATGTGTTTCAGACTCAAAAAATTGCAAATATGACATTGGGTTCATGGTATCCATATCCGCGCTTGTTTGCCCTCAATTAATTGAGAGATGATCCTTCTTTTTCTTCGCTAAGCAAACTGAAGATGAGAGATGGTAGAATCATCCAATGTATGCTCCAGATGGACCCATCAATAATCAATTCCCAAACCCCAATCAGAACCTGCTTCTGGAAAGAGTCAGGATTTAATGTAAAAAAGCAACATTAGCCCAAAACTGCTGTTAATGCATCCTTTAAGTTTGTCTCGACTCTAACTCTGGACTTGTCTGCTTTTACCCATTTATTTTTTAAGGGGAGTTTTACCATTTTTTTCCTTTTTTTTGATAAAAAGGGGAGTTTTACTAAATCCAAAGAAATCTCAGGTCTGGGATATCACGGTCAAATGTCATCTCTCTCTCTCCTTTTCCACCCCTCCCATCACGCCTTTGATCATCTGTTCCTTTTGCTCTGAAGATTTGAAAAAAAAGAAGGCAGAGTATTGCAGAACAGCAGAAGTTGTTGGTTACAGCGAGGACAAACAAATCGGATTGGGATTACCTTACACGATGTTCAAGGCTGTGATAGGACTCATAATTTTCAAAAGCATTGCTTTAGAATTTAGAAAAAAGTTAATCTCCTGCTTTCTATAATTATTATTGTTATTAGGACTTCACACAGTCACACACACGCCAATGAAAATATGAAACCCTGATAACCATTTGCTGAAGAGCAAATTTCAGGTACTTAACAAATCATTGCGCAATGAAGTGGGGATCACCATTTCATACTTGATAGCATTCTCATAGAGCTCATAGCCCAATACTTTTAGTTGAGCTAGAATAATCCTCTAATCATTGAACAAAAGGAATTAGAAATGGGTCTTGCACGAACTGGTTTTTTTTTTAATCTGATCCATTTTTAAAATTGGATTTTGGATTCGGGCCTGAGCAGATCCGGATGCTGCATTGGATCATGGATCAGAAGGCACCAAATTAAAAACTTTGGCTCATATGTTGCCAAAATGGGACCCCTTCTTTTGATTTTGATCGGCCCACAGAATCCATTTGTGCCAAGAGTGTGAGGATGGATCCCTTTCAATTCAAAGTGCAAGACTGAAGACCCCACAGACATCATACACCATATAATGCTCCAGTACCAGTAGTTCTATATCATCTCCATTTTCTAGACTACACCATGAACTTCATGGACGCATCTAAGAATGCAGTATGGGACTCAACTCCGAGATGTGTCTTTCAGTCTTTGTCCAAAACCAGCCAGATTGAACAGGCCAGGACCATAACCCTATATAAAGCGGATTAGAAGGTAAGACGTCAGATTGGCGTGAGCTGTGGGCCATGGTTGATCTAAGATGTTGACCAATCAAAGGTTCCACTGAGCTTGTGAGGGCTGTAAGGGTTACATTGTTTATGGTTACTCTCTGACCCAAAAGAATGCTTGTTGGTAAATTCTTGTTAATGAGGTACTGGTACCCCTGTGGTGATTGTAAGCTTTTGTTGGTATACGTGATTTTTTATTTTATTTTCTCCTTTTGTTCTTCCAAACCGTCTTGGATTGATAATTGATACATCCCGGGAAAAGTACATCTTTGGTGTTATCTGTTTGGTTTTCAGCTACTTACCATCTAAATTTACCTTAACATGAAGACCCCAACAAATGGGTATTAGAAAAGAGGATCCTCAACTGTGACTAATAACATCTAGGTCCCTATTTCAATGTTGATGTCACATTTCAACCCCGCCGGTTGGACTGAAACTTGTTCACAATCTTGGTTTGGGCCAATCTCTAAACCACACTATGTTTCAAAAACCAATTGAGTCGGGCTGTTTAGCAGTTGATCTGTTTAGCCCGTTCAACAGGCTAATAGGTTTTGTTTTTAATTTTTTTTTTATATCTATACTATCACGATTGATCTGATAGGAGTGTCAATGGGTTGTGTTTGGTATGGGTTTGCCTCTATCTTAACCCGACCCTCCAATGTTCCTACCTGAACCTGATCCGACCTGACTTAGTAGCATGCAAATTTTGAATCCACCCTGATCCTATAGGGTTCAACCCAATATTGACCTAAAGCCTTTTAATTACATTTTTTAATACATTTTGAAAACCTAAAAACCCTTAATTTCTAAGGTGTCACTTCCTTCATAGTGAAAGAAGAAAAACCAAAATAAACAAAAAAAAAAGTTTAAACTTTAAGACTATGAAGTTAGAAGTTCTAGCAAATTACAAGAATCAAACCCAACCCAAATCCGACTGCATTAAAGAATCAAAGAAACCCTAACCCAAGCCTACACATGAACAAACCTGATCTGATAGGGTTGGATTAATCTGAGTTTACCATTTAACTTGATCTATTGACATCCCTAAATTGATGCAAATGGTTGAACCAATGACCCATTAAGCTGCAAGGAAAATGGTTCAATCTTTGGGCCAGGTTTTAGAACACTAACTGAAAAGGCATTGGAGCTCCATACTAGTGGATGCTGAGACCCTTGAGTCATACCATGTTATTCCTGGCTTAGTGGCTTGTGGACTAGCGGGTTCAAACATCTACCTATGGGTTTCCACCATTGAAGCATTCCCATCTAGGCTCCCTTTGCTTTTTGGTAAGTTATTTAACTGGGTAAGTGCATTTACTTATGTTCTTTTATTTCTCATGTAAATAAGGTAATGACCATTTTATTCATAAAAATCCAATATTAAAAGGGGCATTTTTTCCCATTCAATTGTTGGCAACAAATTATTTATCCACTTAAGAGAGGGCAAGTGATACCATTGACTAACTTTTCCCCTCTCAATAAGAATCAAAATCTGAAAAAAAAACAGAGGTTTCTTAGTCAATAAGAATCAAAATCCCATTGACTAACTTTTCCCCTCTCAAAATCTAGAAAAAAAGCCCCCCTAAAGTTTTGAGAAGGGTTTAATTTGTCTTGATTATTCTCCACTCTCCAGTCATGTATTGCCCTAGCTCTAAGTTGGCGTGAGATGTGACAATCCTGGCAATTATATATAAGGGCAGAGATTTCTCCAGGTTTTGGTTATAGCTGTTTTTCTCCAGGTTTCAGTCACAGACAAAATTTGAAATGTCTGTGACTGAATCTATTCAGGGAATAGTACTCCAATTCTCAGTAGGGTTAATCAAACCACGATAAAGATTAAGCCACCTTATGGTTATAGCGGAAAGAGTTCTCCATTCTCTCCCATTGTTGACTAGTTTTAAACTTTTAATTTGGTGGAATTAGCATCTAATTTACAGCTTCATGCTAGCATTTCCTCAATGTTAAAAGGAAATTATCAATTCAATAAACTATTCCTCTCAGCTTATTGGTTATTGCCTAGCTATGCCAAACACTGTCAACGTCGGTAGTTCGTCATCTCTGAGGACCACCTGACCAAGGGATTCTGTGAGGAGAGCCGGGCCAGCCGGCCAGGCTCAGTTGTTGGCCCAAATTTGAGTGACATATTCCATCAACCTGGGTTAGAGCAGAACCGGCCAAAACCTGTCTCCCTATGTACAGACTACAGAGGCGACATCTTTGCTAGTGGGCAGTGTCAATCCAGCAAAAGGAATTTTGACAACCTCAGAATCTTCCTTGTGGCAGCCCAAAGGGCTCTACATGTTCCCTACTCCACCCTCTATTCCTGGGTCAAGTTTCATCTCAAGAGTCATAGTCACATCTCACATGCACCCACAGAAGAAAAAAAAATCAATAAAAAAAGAGAAGGGCAAAACAAAAAAGCCCATTTTCTGGGACTACAGCTGCAGGAATCAGTTGATTAGGGGTCCACAGAATAGGAATAACGTTGACAATGACTGGGGAGCTGAACAGATGGCTAATCTAGATGATACCCTGTATGACAGATGGGCTGGATTCTGCATTATCCTTCCATGTGGAGAATGTGGACAAGAATCCAGTTGAAACTGGAAAAATCTGCACTTGCCACGTGGATAGTTATCTTGTCTATGTCAGCCATTAGAGTTTACCATGTCAAGAATACCTCTTAATGTTCATATTAATTAGATAAAAATGGATCAGAAAACCTAATCATTTTGCATCAAGGGAATTTCAGTTTGTCATTTGCTTCCGGTTCCCATTTCTTCCATTAATTGTTGCATCCCCTTCCTTGTACAAGAAATTCTTTATCATTGGAATTGATAGTGAGGATTGGGATTTTTTGTTTGCTTGCAAAAGGAATGCGTGAGCTTAGTTTTGGGTCTTGAACGGAGTTTCAGTTTATTGGAATTGATATTGAGGTGAGATAACCAATTTACCAGTGTCATCTAATTTTCTTTATTTATTATTTTTACATAAACCATAGCGCTTCAGATGCGGCCACTGTGGCAGAGAATCCTCGCGTTCATTGAAGATGCAGAATGAATTGAAATGGATTAAAATTTCCTGTATATTCAAATTTAACCAGCTTCATTATTGGAAACATTAAGTGATTCAAATACAAGAAAATTTATCTCAAACATGTTAACAGGAAAAGTTAAAAAAAAAATACACAATAAATTAAAAAACTATAAAAAATTAAGATTTAAAAATATATAAAAAATTTCATCAGTTATTAAAAAATATACGTAAACAAAAGAAATGGCGGTTTCACTCGTCACCGAACTAAAGAAATGGATCGCCATCAAAGAAATAATTCAAATCTCAAGTATCTGTCGAAGTCGAACTATTAAGTGTACAGAAGTGAAAAACACATTAGATTGATATTGGCATTGCTCAAAACTTTACAAATTAAACTGAACAATAAGGTCAGAATGCGACATCACCTTGTCATAGATGATCATTGAAACAGATCTACCACCAACAACTCTGAAAGCACAACTTCAGAAATGCGAACTACCAAGCAAGACAAACCCAAGAAGGAATCAAAGGAAAACGCTCAGAATTCGAGGCATTATCAAAAATCAAGGCAAGAAATCACAAGATAGAATGATTTCCAGTTTAAGTTCGAGAGTGAATGGAGGATCCCAAGCAATGCAGATTCTATGATTCATCTCTGGTTTGATTTAGCATATACCACTAAACAAGAAGAAAAAAATCATGGCAAGGGAGAACAACATTACTAGTATGACAGGTAAAAGAGAGAGAAAAAACAATCAACCATCTCAAACCAAAAATGAGCACACCCAGAACTCCGAAAGCCCAAAACTTGAAAAGACTTCAGTATTGAGTTTTCAGAGAAAGAAGGTATAAATTAATAATATTGGATAATGGCACCATCTAAATCAAATAATTACCCAAAAACTAAATAACAATAACAAGAGAAACTTACAGCATACCCAGAAGTTCAAATGGTGGTAAGTATAAACCAATATCAGAGAAATACAGAAAAAGATAAGAAAAATCAAGAAAAGAAGAACTTGGAACATACCCAAAAGCTCAAGCAAAACAAAATCCATGATGCTTCGATGAATTCACCATTTTCTGGGGTCTAGGTAGGCATATACGGCTGGTTTCCAGTGAGATGAGAGTACCGGAAGCGGAGAATTAAATGTCAAAAGGGAGGGAGAGGAAGAGCTTTGACATCTCCATTCCGACATTCTTTTTTCATATTTAGTAAGTAATAAATGTCAAAATTCAGAAAATTATGGTCACTTGATGCGGCGTACAAAGCATGCCAAAATTATTTCTATGATGCTGGTCCGTCCATTTCTTATTTCTTTTTCTTTACGTAAACAAGCATACACGTCAATTATTTATTTTCAGCTGTCGCTGGAACTTGATCAGTTCCCGGTACTGTTATCGGATTCTTTAAATCTGTTCCCGGCATTGTCGTAGTTATGGCGTAGGAGAATGAACAGTGTCTTCAAGGTAAAGTGGTGCGTGCCATCATGTGATACAAATACCTGATTAGGAATTTTCTTTTGGGCTCAGTTTGAAAGGAATACTATATTTTGGGCCTTTTGCCACTTTGGTCCCCAAACTTTAAAATGTGACAATTCAGTACCCAAACTTTCAAAATGTATCAATCTGGTACCTGCCATTAACTAATTCGTTAACCAGTCATTAGGTGACATTTGAAAAGACACAAATGCCCTTTGAGTGTCATCTAATTTTCTTTATCAACCATCCATATGTTGATAAAAAATGAACAGTCCCAAATCTTTGCCTCTTCTATTCAACAAAGTTGGGATCATTTGTTGTCAACGTTTGGATGGTTGATAAAGAGAATTAGATGACACTTGAAGGGTATTTGTATCTTTTCAAATGACACTTAACGGCTGTTTAATAGGCTAGTAAATGGTAGATGCTAGATTGGCACGTTTTAAAAGTTTAGGTACTAAATTGTTGCGTTTTAAAGTTTGGGGATCAAAGTGGCACTAGACCCAAAGTACAAGGTACTAACATGGAAATTTCCCTTAATATTATACATGGATCTTGGAGAGAAAGTCCTAATATGGGAAGTGTGAATTATACCAATCTAGAAATGATCTAAGTGCTAATAATTTAACCACGAATATGCAAAGTTGGTTTAATTTTGCATTGATAAGTTTACTTTCTTATCAAATGATTTTAGTTGGGAAAAATTCCTTATTAGTACCCTATACTTTGGGTCTGGTGCCACTTTGGTCCTTGAACTTTAAAATGCGACAATTCAGTACTCGAACTTTTAAAACGTGTCAATCTATTACCTATTGTTAACTTGCCATTAAATGCCTTTGAAAAAGACACAAATGCCCTTCAAATGTTACAAAAATTAATAGTCCTAAATCCTTGCCTCTTTTTATTCAAAAAAGTTGGGGTCCAAATTGCCCAATGAGACATTGCCCCCAACTTTCTTGAATAGAAGAAGCAAGGATTTGAGATTGTTAATTTTTTGTCAACATTTGGATGGTTGATAAAGAAAATTAAATGACACTCGAAGGGCATTTGTGTTTTCTCAAATACCACTTAATGGTAAGTACTGGATTGACACATTTTGAAAGTTTAGGTGCTCAATTATCGCATTTTAAAGTTCAATGACCAAAATGACACTAGGTCCAAAGTACGGAGTACTAATCGGGAGTTTTCCCTTTTAGTTATAATAGGTGCAAACACAAATCCTAGATTAGAATCTGTCTTCCTGTACATTGACCAACCTTAAGGCTGTATTTAGTTTGAAGGATAGTAGGGAAAGGAAAGGAAAGGCAGAGAAACCTTTAACAAACCTTGTATAAGTTTTTATATCTTTCCATTCCTTTCCCTACTTTTTCCTTCAAACCAAACATAGCCTAAGGAATTCATGTTGCCTTACACTATGAATCCCCCATGGTATAAAAAGTTGATTTAGAGAAAACATTTGAGGCCTGATTGCTGCTATCTCCATTTAACCTGACTTTTTTTTTTTTTTTTTCAAAAGCCTAACCAGGCAAAATCTATTAAGAAATGCTCAGATACTGAACACCGGGAGAAAATAACTCGTGGAATATCTGCAAACGACATTCAATTTTGAAAACGCCACTCGTTTTTATTATGCAGTCCAAGAAGATGAATACATTTGGGCCTTTTTATGACCCGGTTAAATAATTAAACGAGGGTAGACCCAATCCATTATTGCCACCTCATCTAAGGTCGAGTATTATAAAATATAGAGCATTTTAATTAGCACACTACTATATAGCCCGCATCTCAACTTAATTAATTAGTAAAACTAAATTAACTTGAAGTAATAAGTTAAGTAATAACTTTATCAGGGCCCGTTTGGCGTGTCTGTTTTAGAAGATTTTTTTGTAGCTCTAACAGTTAAAAGATTGAGCTTGACATAAGATTTGGGCAGTCCGAAAACAGTTTGGCAGATGCGCATCTTTCCGTGCGTCTGCCCGCATCTTTACAGGTGAGATTAAAACCTGAAAGACGCGAAATATGAATAACAAATGTAAGACCAAGTACGGGGTGGTCATTCTGAGTCAGGATTTGCTCTCACGGTGCACGCCTCACACCAATCTCACAACATGTTTTGACTGTATATCGGGACATCTCTCGTCTTTAAATTTATTATTTATGGGGAGATGTTCCAAATACAGGGTGGGATGTGGCTGTGAGGTCGTTGCAAGGCGCGTTATGCCAAGAGCAGATTCGAATTCGGTCATTCTATATGTTAGTAATGAATATAAATTAGAAAAAAAGAAAAAAAAACAAGCACAAAAGAAAAAGAAAAAAAAAGGCTTAAAAAGTAATGAATATAATACATGTATTAACTTATTAATCAGTTCATAAATATTTATCATTAATAAATAATAGTGATTAAACAATTAAAAGGAAAAATTAGTTAAAATATGAAAAACGATTAAATTAAAACAAATAATTAAATAATAAATGATTAATATTTTGCAATGAAAATCCTAGGCCAGGAAGCCCGGTCTGGTCGATCCATCATCACCCTAGCAAATTAAAACGCGGGAAAGGAAACGAAAACCCTAGAAAAACCAAACAAACCGCTCGTCCTCTCTCCATTGGTCAACATGGCTGAAACAGAACAAACGCAGAGGACAACATGGCTGAAACAGAAGCAAAACTTCACGGTAAACACGAAGAAGAGAAGAACAAGAGAAAGAGAAAGAGGTCTAAGAAGAGTGCACATGCAGACTCCGACGCTGAGGAAATTAATTGAGAACTCGAAAACGAAGACGAAGAAGAGGCAAGAGCAGAAGCATATGAAGAAGTGGAGATTGCAGACAAGAGTAATCGGGATTTGGATGAGGATGGTGATGGCCAGGATGATGCTCCATCGATGCCACGGAGAAGAAGCAGAAGAAGAAGTTGCAGAGTGGATCGGGAATCATGAGCACTGAGTCTTTCTCTCGGTTGGGCCTCTCTGAACCCACCATCACCATGAAGGCAATTCAAGACATGGGCTTTGACAAAATGGCTGAGGTAACTATTTCTTTTTTATCTAACTTCGTTGTGGTTCGGTGCTCTAGGAAATCTCACCACAGGTTCATATCGAACCGGCACCTTTCTTTCCTTTGTTTGTGAAAATTAAGTCGTAGAGATGACAAAAGTAAGGGAAGGGAATTTATTTGGAGAACTAATTCTATTAATTGTTATAAAGTCTATGGCGATTTAATGAACTTGGAAGTTGAAACCTTTTGGTGAACAGAGAGGTTATCACGCTTCTTATTCAGCTCTTCTTGTTTACAGTTAATGAGACTCTGTCTCCCCCATAGGGGCTACAAGGTTCAAGATGTTTGAACGGTATTGTAGAGTTTTAAAAAAATTCATTTGCTACATTTGTGCCGTTTCGCTGGTTCTCAACAGAAATCTTGTAAGTAAGACAATTGTGTACATTTAATAATATAATAGTAGTGCAAGTTCAATAATTTATAAAAGGGAGAGATTGAGTACTGTAGGATGTTACCTATTGAAATAGAGCAAGATAGGCAAAATGGAGTGGCACAATGTAAGAAATGGCTATTACATAGGCAAAATGGAGTGGCACAATGTAAGAAATGGCTATTAAGATAGGCAAAATGGAGTGGCACAATGAAAGAAATGGCTATTTTATAATTTTACCCATCATAACAATTTAATAAACTGATTAGAAGGTCATGAAATGATTAAAAATTAATAATAAGGTAATTAAATAATTATGTAATATTTAATGATTAATTAAATAAATAACTAAAGCAATTTAATAATTTATAATTATTAATTATTAACATTAATAATAATTTATAATTATTAATTATTAACATTAATACATTAATTTTCATAACTAATATAATTAGTTATCATTATTATTTATTAATTAGTTATTAGTATTTTTTATTTATTATAGATTAATAATTATTAATAACTATTTAATAATATTATTCTTAGTTGTTTAAATTAATAAAAAATAATTAATTTTTAACAGTTTACTTAATTGATCACTAATTAATTGATAATTCTTATGAAACAATTAATGAAATTAACTGATTAATCAATATTAAATAATTACTAATTAAATAACTATAAAATAATATAAATATTATTGGGATTTTTACAGAAAAATTAATAAAATTTGATGAATTGACAAAAGCATATATATTTAGAAATAAATTGTAAAAATGGTGAGCGGGAGGGAAAAGTCCATCTTGGGACCAAATTGCTCCTGATTAAGAGCCACATCCATTCTCTCTCACCCTGTCTCATCAAAGCACTCTTCTCACTGTTGCTCAGAGCATTTTCTTCTCACAGTTTTCAGACTTCCCTTTGTTAACGATGATACCCCTAGGCTTTTTTGGTAAAAAGCTCAATATTATTTGTCATTACTATCATTAATTAATCAATAATATTAATAATTAATAATTATTAACTAAAAATTAAAATAAATTAAAGGACATTACCTAATGTTGGTCCCACCTATTTGAGGTTTTGGAAGAGGTAGATTAGATATGGACCATATGGTCCTACCCTTTGGCATTTTTCTTGCACAAAGTGGCTGATCTTAGACTTGAACTTGCATTCTCATGCTTGCCAGCCTAAGATTGTAACATTACACTAAGTAATGGTCCCTTAATAACTAAAAATTAAATAGTTCTTACTTTAATTATTTACAATTAATTAATTAATTATTATTCTTTACATAAATAATATTATAATCTATTGTTAACTACTTATTTATTATATGATATTTTTAATTACTTAAATTAATAATAAACGATTAATTATTTATTATATATCAATAATGATTTATTATTAACTAATTATTTAATTAATATTATATGACATAAA